CTGCATGGAAGAAGAGTCACCAGGGGAGCCGGTAAATTACCATTCACAATCCTAAATAAAACCAAAAGTTATCACAGCTAGAAACTAATATCAGGGTTTTCAGAAAATACATTTAATCAAAAAAAGGATATAAAATAAATATAAGTTGGATTTATTTAAATATTAGGTTCGTAGACTATTATATTTTCTCAAAGGATATAGTAGTTAAATTTAAATAAACAATTTGATTATAGCTTTAAAAAGTATACATATATATAAATATTATGACAGTGTTGGACAAAATATTTTGTGGCAGCTGTAATAGATTTGGTTGTTAGTATTATTGTAACCCCCTGCATTATTAGAAAACTGAAAAAGAGATATTCACAAAAATATGATTTATTTTTTATTCGGTTTATTAACCAGTTAATAGTTATTTAGAGACGAAGAATAATTGAGTTTTGAGAATAATTTCTAATTCATTTAGGCGACCCGAAGGGAAGAAGAAGAAGAAAAAAAGAAAGAAGGAAAAAGAAAGGAAAAGAGAAGGAGAGATGGGTACAAAAAAGCTAAGAAAATAAAACAAAACAGGTGTCAAAAGATATCTAGGCCAACGCGCCTGACCGAAATTCAATGAAAAATAGAAATTGTTATTTGAAAGAATATGAGTTTAGAAATAATAAAAAATGAAAGGGAAAAGAAAATAACAGACGGGGTAAAAGTGGATGAACATCGACCGGCACATATCAAATTGTCAAAATTATCGGTCAAACATCTGGCCTAATTCCGTGTCCGTAGGACGGAAGTTTGTTGGGAGCTCATTATAATATTTGGGAGAACAATGGAAAAAATTTTAAGAACAAATGCAAGGGGTGTCATTGGAATGAGAAGGTGACCGCTGAATTGTGCAAAAAACAAAAACATACAGATCCTGACCTAGAGTTGAAGATTAGAACCCACGATGATGAAGTGGAGGATATTTTCAATTCAGATAATTAAGATTTTGACTGTCAGGCCTGAACGAAAATAAAGGAATGAAAACAATTGTTTTTCACAGAAAGCGCCAGCGAGACGAGAAAAATTCTTCCTGAAGTCGCATCTAATTAGCGGCGGGCTGTTTTGACAAAACCAAAAGGTGAGAAAAGGCCGTGATTGTCATTTTTTCGTGCGAAAAAGGCCAAATTGATTTTGTTTTTTTAGCAAGGTGTTTCTTTCCCAGAACAAAGCTGGGATAGACCACGCCCGATTGGAGACGTCACGAAGGACGGAGAGACCCAACCAGAATCTCATTAGCCGAAAGCGGTCACGGGATATGCGAGAAAGATGAGAAAGGACGCCTCGACCAGGACCCATTGGTCGAAAAACGGTCACCTGACATACGAGAGATCGGGAGAGATGGGTATGCGCCTCCCCCCCCAGAGGCACTGTGAGGAAGTAAGGGTGAAAATAAGAGCGATAATGGGAAATCAGAACTAATGCGACTTTTGGAATTATCAAGAAACCCTGACGCCGACAGACCCACCCCAGTTTGTTGCGGCGTCAATAAAAGCAGAACCCCAATCGACAGAAATCAGTTCAGCCTCGGAAGGCAGAGAGAAGAGTTCACCTCAGACGGAGAGAGAAGAGTTCGGACCTGGCGAGAAGAGTTGCAGTTGCAGAAGAAGAAGGTTTGCAGTTGCGTTTAGAAGAAGTTGAAACCAGGCCAAGCCGGAAAAATTTATGGGGGGTGGAAATTCGTCCAACCCAAATCGAAGTGAAGAAATACGTCCAACTCAAGCCGAAGCGAATAAGCTCGTCCAACTCAAGCCGAAGAGAAGAATCAGCCGTGAACGACTGGTAGAGATTAGCGCCCAGTGTCGAAACCAAACCACACTCCGACATACAAAATTCTAGAGAGTAGGCAACTCTGAAGTCTTTAAATTGTATGGATAGAAGCTTGGGCCACAGTCCACAAAACGGGTCGGGAAGTAAGAATAATTTTATGTAACGAACATTAGATAAAAAGGTTGTTACCTTTTTATCAGTAATTTTTGCCTCGTGAGTTTTTTTCTTTTACTTGTGTGTTGCCACCCCCGTTGAACCCAGCTGGCATACGGCCCCGACTCCTGTTTGATCCCGTCTGTCTAAGATCTAATCACAACGTGGGTAGGCAGACCGGAGATCAGTACAGTTACCCTAGTAACCAGGTGTTGGAAGCGAGTTGGGAACGGCGAGGCTGGTAATCATCTAACCAGAGGGTTGGAACGTCACACTTGGAGCAGCGAGGAGCGAACAGCTGACGCCGCGGCAAAGAACGTCACAACTGGTGCTGTCCGTGACAAGGATCGACCCTTGGGCGGCCACATCACGTCACGTCACAGTTGGAGCCGCGAACGAGATCGAACGACAGAGTCGACGCTGCGACCAAGGAGGGGCGACGTCACATTAGTAATCCGAATGTCTTTCTTGAATTGGCACTGAAGAATTCTGCGCGAAGGGTCATAAAACAATTAAGGTTGGTACAAGAGAAATGATGAATTACTTATTTCGCATTTTATCTTTTAATGTTTTACTGACACCTGTGCGTTCTTAGATCTGTTTCCATTTTCGTGTGTTTTGTCACATGCGTGTATATATGCGTGCGTATATTCCCCCATCCATACGTATACTGTCTTACTACGAGGAATTAGTAAATTCATTTGTACACATACATACACACACACGCATACACACTGCCCCAAAACAAGGAATCAGTATATACACACACATACATACACACACACACATACTCCCCAAGTTACATGGAACGAGTATACACATACAGAGAATATTTAACATTGAAAAACATAAGGAAAAAATTAATTAATTTTAAGAATATGTTGAAATCTCCGCTTTTACCTGAAGACGGTCGTAAGACCAGAAACACGTAGTAAAATTATGGAAAATACATAATGTTTTAAAAAAATCCACATTACAACCAAAACTCTTCTCTTCTTTATATATATATATATATATATATATATATATATATTTAAATATTTAATATTCAGGCGCATTTTTTTCATTACATTTTTTCTATTCACACGTTTCATTAAATAATATAGATAAGTGTGATTTTCTTTCTTCGTTTAATGATAATATTATTAAGTTTATCAGAAGTTATGAAAAGAATTAACATAAGATAAATAGACAGCACTTGTCTATATTAATTAAATGAAACACCACACACACACACACATGAAGCATATATATATATATATATATATATATATATATATATATATATATATATATATATATACACATAATAAATCAATTGGTTATAATTTATTTCACGAATATCTAAATATTCATCTCTTCAGAACGAAACTTTTTATAGAATGGAATAAATCCATCCAGACTGATGGATCTTGATAAAATGGAGAATGGGAAAAATGAGAGAGAGAGAAAAAAGGTGAATAACTGTGTGGCGATTAGGGTTTTAAAATCATTCACTGCGCCAACAGCATACGTATTTTTATAGAAGTCAACTTCAATATACCTGTTTTATAATATATTTTATATAGTAATATATAGTATATATACTTTAGGTGATATTAAAATTGAAACAGCTAAATATCTTCTTTGTGTTGTAGTAGTTATTGTTTCGGACTTCGGATGTCATTTGCGGCTGCGTGCCATTTGTAATTGCTTGATGTGTTACATTAGCGGCACGCGTGCCATGAGGAGGGGGGGCAACGCGATTAAAAGAAAACCTGTTTTTATTTTGTAATAATGAAAAGTGTATCGTCTCATAGTTTTGGGATAAAAAGCAACAATGATAAGATGGTTTAAAGCAGTCGTCGGCAGTCTTTTGCTATGTTTTTTTTTTTTTTTTTTTTTAAGCATTTCACCCCAAGCAAGGCGGGAAGCCACTAGGACGCAAGGGGTTACAGAAAATATAGAGCAAGATCAGACAGGAGTTATAGAAGAAAGGATGAGAGTAGTGGATAGATCAAGGCAACTGGAGATGTCGATTGACATTACAATTTGAATAGCTGAAGATTATAGCTCACAGGGAAACAGGAGAAGGGGAAGGAGTTCCACGGGCGAGAGGTGCGAGACATAGTTATTAGAGTAGAAAAAGAAAGAACATTACATTTAGGAGTTTCAACAGTGAAAGGGTGAGAGCGGGATGCCAGCCTCGTAGGGCGCTGGAACTCATGACGTCTGGGAACCAGTGAATGCAGTTCCTCGGAGCAATTTCCATGAAAATATTTGTAGAAGAGACAGAGGGGGCGACGGCGCGTCTGTGAGAAAGTGACTGTAGACGAGACGCCAGGGCAGGGCCAGCCATTGCATATCCGCCTCTGGAGCCTATCAAGAACCCGAGGCAAACAGAAGGGGGCAGACTATATATGGCAGCAATACTCCATGCAAGGGGAATTGTTGATTTGTAGGTCTGGAGGATCGACCTGGGGAGAAAAGTTCCTCGCGGGCTCAGGGAGCCAAATTTTTGCAGTGGACGAGGCAATTGACTCATTGTATTTGTTCCATCTCAAGTCAGCAGTCAACGTGAGACCGAGAAGCCGCAGAGAGTTGCTCTCGAGAAGTTGAGCGTCAGACATTCTAATGGGGGGAAGGGAAGGATCTCTGTGGTGATTAATAGAGAGCAATTTTGTCTGTGCCAACTTCGTGTTTTAAAATCCTTCAGTGTGCCAACAGCATACGTAATTTTATACTAGTCAATGTCAATATACCTGTTCTATAATATATTTTATATCGTAATATATAGCATATATACTTTAGTATATATTAAATTTCAAACGGCTAAATATCTTTGCGTTGTTGTAGTTATTGGTTCAGACTTCGTGATGTCATTTCCGGCTGCGTGCCATTTGTAATTGCTTGGCGTGTCACGTGTGGCACGCGTGCCGTGGGTTGCCGTTCCCTGTTCTATTCTATTGCGCACTCCCCATCCCTCAGGAGTTAAGAAAAAAAAACTATAAATTTTGGTAGTTAGCATTTTTAGTTTGCCACTCTCATTTACTATCTTCTACATACGATTGTATCACTTCAAAACACCGGCTCACATACGATCGCCGAAGTTAAGCAAAGTCGAGCGTGGTCGGTACCTACACGGGTAACCCCTTGGGGACACCCGGTGCTGTAAGCGGAGATGTGCGGATGAGTAATGAATGGCTAGGACTGTGAAATTGGAGGACCGTATTCCAATGCCAGTCGGTTTCGTTATATTTACTTACGCCCAAATATCTTTGAGAAAGGTAGGAATCTACAGCGCTGAAAAGCTAGTAGGACATTTATCAGAAGGTCTAGTTTAGAACTACAATATTATCTACTAGAACTATTCGTAGTTTGTTAAATAGCACCAGCAGACAACATATTACATCCGATGCTTGCATCTATCAAATATCATGCAAAAACTGTGACCTAAAATATGTGGGTGAAACATGTAGGTCCGTAAAATCTCGTGTTTTCGAACATAGACGAGATATTCGCCTCGGAAATTTTAACAATGCTTTAGTTGTACACAGAACTAAAGCAGATCATAATTTGATTTCGATTCCGTGAAGGTATTAAAAATATTTTCATAATAAAAAATTTCAGGAGGATTTATGAAGCAGGTATAATATCCATCTCACGCACGGTGAATACTAGACCTGGTTTCTTTTAGTATTTCCCCGTTTTTATGAGATTAATGCTCGACAAGCATACACATAAAAATTTTAGATCATAATAGAATTTTTCATTTTCTTTTCTTTTTTTCTTTTTTTTTTTTCATTCAAAATAATCAAAATTTTTTAGGAATACGTTTCGAAAGCGTCGCCCATGTGACGACAACGTGAACATGCTAAACGGAAAGTTGATCATTTTAAAATTTTCAGTTATCTGTTTTGGATAAGACTTGTTTTATGTCCATCGTTTTTGTCAAATTGAATTGAATTGTATTTTAATGAATATTGTCCTGAAGAAGGTTTATTAAACCGAAAACGTCAGACGTCGACATTTCATTCATTTTAAAAACAAACATAATTGCATGTAAGGATTTTGTTTGTTTTTTCCAAATTTTTCTTCCTATATATATATATATATATATATATATATATATATATATATATATATGTATAATGGGAAGAAAGGGTCCATGTGTGCTTTTTATAGTATGTAATATAGATAGGTCGGTTAATAAAACAATGGAAGACAAAAGGTTTGTGATATAACGAGGGTCCGCAAATTCGAGGAGACATATCTCAATAATAATGTTCTGACTTCGAATCCGCGGTTATCTCCCTTTAAAACTCTCTCCGTTATTTTTTATTTGATTTTTAAATGTACTTTTTATCACATAACATTTGGTGTAACACGAGAAAATTTTAATTCTAAAAATGCGGCTTAGAGGAAAAAAATAAAAGGAACCACTCCCCTAAATGTTGAATAAGTCTGGTGAGAAAACGCATTCTTGTCTTTCACCTCTCTCTATATTTGTATATTTACTGAGTTCATTCTCTCTCCGTATGCGGGCGGTTTGCTGCCAGTAGAAGTACTGTATTATTCTCAGGCCCTTTCTAAATATATCAGGCTTACCTAGCAGTCAAAGCTTATATTATATGTTGGGGGTGACATATGGGAAAAAACCAAGAGTTAGACCAGCAAGAATCTTGACAAACATTGGAATCAGAAAAGAAGAACTGGGTAATGCTATGGGTGACAGAAATGGTTGGCCAGAAGTCTTCGAAATATCGTTTCTCGTTCGTTTTTAGGAAGACCGGATACTCAAATAGATCTGCATTTGTGTATGTGTATCCGGTTCTGGGAAGTAGGCTGTTTATGAAACGCGGGAAAAAAATGATTGTAATTCAAAGCAAAACAAAAAAATAAATAAATAGATTGAATTAAATCAAATTAATTGACTTCTGCATTTCAAAGTCATCTGACCCGGGGTGACAACAAATAAAGCACTCGCAATTCTGACGTGTAGATTTTTTTTTAATTTCCGTTGAAATGTGGTTCAACTGCTATTGAATTATTTACAGAATTCTTTGTCTCTTTAATGTTTATATTGTTCCATTCGCTTTTCTTTCTATTCTTTATTTCATTAAATTTGTGCTTCCTCAATTTTGGTCTTGCAATTACCATTAAAAGTTTTCTTTTTTTTAAATTATCGCCAACATCAGCATCATCAGTAGCAGCGGCATCTTCTTCTTCTTCTTCTTTTTCTTCTTCTTCTTTTTCTTCTTCTTCTTTTTCTTTCTTCTTTTTCCTCCTTTCCTATTTTCATTCGTTGAAACCTCCTTATTTTTTTTCTCCTTACTTGCAGGCCAGAAGAAGAATAAAAGAGGGCTGAAGAAAAAAGAAATAGAAGTGAAAGAAAGGTAGAATTGAAGGTTGGAGCCCTGTCTACGATAAAATCCACCAGAGAGAGGGAAAACTGGACCAAAGAGATGGGAACCGTACTATCAACCAGAGCAGACAGGCCCCAGTATCCATATACAATAAGGGATCAAGTGGCAGGACGAGCGAGGAGGGTTCATGCCAAGATCTGAAGAAGGCTGAAATTAGCTAACCTGGAAATGAAGAAGCTGAGTGCCACAAGAAGACAAGGACAAGAAGGTAACTTGGTTGAACCGGAAAAATGGAGACTGAAGAAGAAGACTCCGAGGAAGATGAGGGAATGGGTCGACTTGCCAGATAAACGAAGCAGTCCGAGTGACAGAGTTGGAACCTCAGCAGGGATTAGGTGATGTTCCAGTCAAAACACCGAATCGGTGCAGAGGAAGACCTCAGGAGGTCGCCATCACACCCCATGTCCGAAGAAAGGGAAGAGAAAGACGGAGGTCCAATCAAGAAGTCGAAGGAAAAAAAGAGGCACCCTGAACAGGACGAAGGGCACAGCGAAATTGGAGGAGGAGGATCAAATACCCTTTCAGCTCAAGGAAGGATAAAGGAACATGAGAAATTTAGACATAGAGTCGGAGAGGTATTGAAGACGTTCAAGGCGAAGACTCTAAACAGAAAGCAAGAATCAGGAATGAAGAAGAGGACAACAAACCTCCCGGACGGGAGTTAAACATAGAAAGAAGGTTAGATGTTGAGCAGAATCACCTCGGAAGATGAGATCAAAGAGGTGAAGAACCCCAAATCTAGCAGAACAAGGGCTGTGCAGAATAGAAGCATTTAAAATGACAGATAATGACACTGGCTCATCCAAGAACCTACTATTTGACTACGGTGATGTGGATGGAGGGTGGAGTCATGGCTGCCTCACTGGACGGAAGAAGACGTTGGCATTGTTGATTTGACCATCAGTGGTGTCATGAAATTGACCTTTGGGGTGGCGCCACACATGTCAGGCCATTCTGTCTGCTAGAGGTTGAAGAAAGAGGAGGGAAGAGCTGAACTTAGTAAGAACTTATATAGAGTTCCTCAGTTTATCATCTGAATACGTTTTTCTTAGAGTTTGAGAAAAGAAAATAACACAAAGGAGACGTTTATATATATATATATATATATATTTATAAAAAATGTATTAAAAAGTTGATAAATTACCTACCGGCTAAGAGTACTGGGTGCCTAGACATATGATATTGAGTCAGACTGTTAATGGTCATTTTTGCTGTTAGCAAAAAGAATAATGAACTATCATACTTTGTCAAAGTATAGGCAGTTCGATCCTCACTGGAAGCTTCCAATTTGAATAGCCTTGTTGTATCTTTTATGTAAATATTATTTCTATATTCATTTTATTTTGTTTATTTATTTTATTTTTAAAGGTTTATGAAACTTCATGACCGTAGTATGGCAATACATAATAAAAAAAAATCAATGTCAAAAAATAAACATATAATGAACAAGATTATATTGAATCCACTGTGAGTCTTAGTGACTTTATTGCTTTGATTCAGGTGAAATGGTTAATAAAAAGTAGTTACTCCCTTCCTTTAATATGCAAAATAAATTACCCTCATTAGGCGGCTTCCATAGGTTGACTTTCTTTTAGTATGTCCTCTAATTAAAATTTGAAATTCGTTATTTTATTTTCCAAGTTACTTTTTCTGCATACAAGTATAGGTTACTAAATAAAATATCTACATATACAATGGTTTGATATATTAGTCATCTTTGATCAAGTAAATGTAAAATTAAAACAAGAAGTAATCTGCGATACAAAATATTCTGAAAAGAAAATATAAAATTTCTGGAAAAATCATGTTTTTTGTTGTATAATTTACAGACGATTTTTTTTTCAATATTTTTTTAATCGATTTCTCCCCAAACAATGAAATCCTAACTAGTCCTCATATGTACAATATCGAAATAAAAAATAACAATTTAAAAATCTTATACAGTGTGAATTTAAAATATGTAATATTCTATTTATAAAGAAACCGAATAAAAAGTCTTTAATTGTGGCAGAAACACCAGTTAACCTCCAAGGAAATCAATGCGGGACATTAATAAAAACACTCATTCGTCTAACCACTCACTCAAACCCTCTGACATTCAAACACAACAACAAATACGAAATTCACACACGAAATACGAAAGACATCCTGCATCCACCAGAGAACTGACATCTCTGCTTTAACTTTTTATCTAATGGGAGGGCTAAAGTATGTCTCTGCATATCTAACTGATTCTTCTTTACCAACTGCTGTACTCCCACTTTAATCTGCCACACTAGTGTCAGTGAGTAATGCTCTTTTTTCTCTAATGGGAAGACAAGCCCCCCTCTCAAGATATCCTCGTTATATCTGCTATCTCCACCCTTCTGAGGGCGGTTTGCGTATGCTAACGCTGAGACTCGTCAACATATGCTTCACTATCGCGTTCCTAAATCGAATGTGTCAGCAACCGGACGAGGAGGGCGAATTCAGAAAAGAAGAAACCCAAGAACTTCCCATCCCCGATAAGTGTACACTCGTGCGAAGAGGAGACTCCTCGATTACCCTGAGGCGAGTGCTCCTCCTATCCTGAATCGGATTGCTCTGACACACCTCTTACGAGCGACGGATGACTTCGCCAACGTCGAGGAGTGTCTCCTGGGGCATTATATTACATGTTATTGGGTGAGGGTCCGCTTGACATGATCCGAGGACAAGCTCGATCTTATGAAGCAGGAGACTCGCTCAATGGCCTTGGACGCCCGGGTTGA